ATTCCATTTCTTATTTGAATGAGTATCATCAATGTTGTTTTTATACTTTTCATTACTTTGATTACTTGACTGTTCATATTGAAAAGGTAAAGCAAACATATTCAACAATACTTAAGGATAATTGAATGAAAAACATACCCAAGATGAACTAAAGAATATATATCTGTTGTGATAAAAACAACAAGTATGAAGACACTAGTCTAAATAATTTGTGGAATAACTAAACTCAAGCCAATGGAGTGAACTGCCTTAAAGAGATCATTGTGTCATCTAATCTCAAGTATTCAATTATAATAAAAAAAGTTTTCAGATGAATTCTTATTCCATTAATTTAGCTGATAGTTTTTTTTTTTGGCGGGGGGGACATGCTCATGCTTATCTGCTATCAATGAATCAATCTATGTTATTGTGGTTAAGGCTATGGCTATTATCTTCTATGCCATCTTATAAGCAATGTAGCTGCTTTTGGGGGTGTCACCAACAACACTGTCATGACATTGCTGTCTTCAACTGTGTGCATCATAGCTAGGCCTGGCCAGTCTTTGATGATGTTTGTTCCTGCAATGCTTGCTTTCCACAGTTTCTTTGAGAATGATATTAAACAATGAAACATTACCATTTATGTTGCTTGACCTGTTTAGCAGCTGTGGAGGGCCACCTACAGAATATTCTCCAGATATATGTTAAATAAACTTGAATAAAATGAACAACTTTAATAGTGGTGTTGAATAAATTTGTTGTTCAGGATAACTGTTTTGCCAATCTTCATGAAATGCTATGTTGACTTCAATAAGTTTAAATATCAAAGTTGAAGTTCTTCATGGCTTACAGGTTCTTGTGCCAGACATGACTTAATGTCATGTTGATGAAAATGTAATAAAGATCATATTGGTAATGTTTCTCTATCAGCAATTGACACTGAAAATTTTACTGTACTACTTTGTGGTTGGAACCTGCTTTCAGCTACAACAACTTCTGCTCTCCAGCTGAAATCTCTTAAGAATTCTCATCATCATCATCACATTAAGTTATTGATTAAGCTGATAGTTCTGTAATTCTGGTACACTCACAGATTTCCTTTGTTAAAGAGGAGCATTGGGTTCATTCCTTTGGCAAATATTGTCAGTAATCTGATTTGCTCTAATCTTAAAAATTTCAAAAGTTCTGCTGGAATATGGTTTACTCTTGGAGATTTGCCTCCTTCCAATGCTCACTACATTGCTATTAGGTTTGGGCTTATCGCTATACAATTCTTCAGAGAACTTAGTCAATGTCTTTCCCATGATTGTTTCTTCTATGAAATGTTTGCAACTTTTATATTTAATTACTATTGACTTGATTTAATGGTTTCTGATAAATTTAAAAAATCAGCTATTGTTGGTTTTTCCTACAACAAATGGTCATCCACCTAACATCAATGTCAACTCTATAGGTATCTTACAAGTGAATTCTTTCAACTTTTTGCAAGCATATAGTATTCACATATTCCATGTAATGAACAAAGTATTTTTCTGGGGAAGACTTAAGTTTAATGTTTTTGTTGTTATTCTAGCTCCAATAACATTTTTTACTGCCAGACTAAAGCAAATTAGTAAAAAACACAGCCATTGACATTCCAGGCCTTGACTGATCTGTCATGTTGCTGACTGTGCCTTCATAATATTATTTCAGTGGGCAATGGATGTGGGGTACTTAGTAGTTTAGTAGTAGATATCTCTCTTCAAACCTTACAAGAATTGTTTGTCTGCAATCTTAGAATGCAGTACACATACTAGCTCTCAATTTATTATCACCAGAGTAGACCTCCAAAACTATTGCTATCAATGAATAGAGTTGGCAGGCAGTAGAGATTTGAAATCAGTTTTAATTCTCCTACATGGATTACCAGCCAGATTTAGCAAGCTCCATCTGCTTGTAACAATAAATTTTAATGGATTAATGACCTGTCTTTGCACAAATACTAGAGGCTTCCTTGTTATGCAGCTATGTCATGCAAAAATTCCAGCAATTAGAGAGAATTATCAGAGACTCAATACAAATAATAATAATTATTAATTGAAATAAATTTTAAAACATGTTAGTTGAATAGTTTTAAATCAATTAAATCAGATTTGTTAGAATTTTAAATTTCAAATTTAAAATATATAAAATATTTACTTTTGATAAACCCATAAGCCATTAGTTTTTGGGAAATTAAAAAATGACATCCACTCCTTATCTTGTCACCATTCAATTCTATATAAAAATGTATTTTAAAAATGACACAGTATTCACATTATATAACTTCATTTGTTTACTTTTTTTTTTTATTGGAGAAGGATAGGCTCGACTTCTCTATGCATGAATGAATACCTCTCCAACTTTCAACTCAGATACTGGCACACAGCCAAAACATGTGGAGGGAGCTTGTTAAGTGCACTGTTGCAGAGTGAACCAACAACCACACCCAGACATCGATTTTATGATAAATTAAACTAGAATATTGATAAATTTAAACATAGAAAATAATCTACTTTCTTACAACACCAAAACTGACCAAAATGACCTGTATAAATCCTACAGACATGAATTTGATGTAGTCAAGCCTTGCCAAGTACAAAAATTAAACAGATTGAAAAGATCAGAAGGTGATACATAAGGTCCATCAGCCACCAGTGAAAGCAGTAATCAACATCAGCCAATATCAGCTGAGTACCTCTGAGGAATCAGTATTAAGTAAGGGTCTCAACTTCGCCACAACCATCAGGCGAGTGCCATACTTGGACATCATTGCCAGAATTGAGGAGGTGGCTTTGAACTTCCCTCAGGCTCAGGCAGATGAACTAAGGTGGAGGGTGAGGCCAAGCCACCCAAGTCAAACATCACGAAACTGGAGAGGCTGTCAATCAGATCCCTACAGAGGGACAAAAACATCATCATACTGGCTGAAAAAGGCAATGCTGGATAAATACTGAGTGATGGACAAATCAGATTATACAAGAAAACTGGAAGACCTCATTAGAAATGGTAGCTACAGCAAAGTAAAAGAGGATCCTTCAATGAAAACGGAACGCAAACTGTCACAGATACTAATCAAGAACAAGGATCACTTCGCACATAAGATGTATAGGCAGTTATCGCAGCGTTACACCAAGCTACCTCACATATACGGTCTCCCTAAGATTCACAAAGACGGTATTCTGCTCAGGCTGATTGTTAGTTGCCATGGCTCTGTGTGCCACCCTCTGTGTCACTTCCTTGTAGATATAATTGATCCATTGATTGGAAAGTCATCTTCATATGACCGAAACTCCACCCACTTCATAGAAATAATCAAAGATGCCCCCATTCTATCCAACCAGATGATGAGCTTGGACATGGTGAGTTTGTTCACCAAGGTACCCACAGAGGAGGCACTCTCAGTAGTCAGAGACGGATTGGCATCTGACTCATCCTTACGAGAATGGACCAGTATTCCAATACATAATCTTTCTGTACATAAACAACACACTTTGGAATAGGATCACACATATATTGACAGGATGAGGGCTTAGCAATGAGCTCAACATTATCACCAGCAATGGCAAACATATACATGGAATACTTTGAGGAAATGGCATTAGAATCTATATCTCTAAAGCTAACATTATGGTTAAGGTACGTAAATGACACCTTCATACTCTGGCCACACCAGGAAGATGTTCAGGTCCTACTGGACCATGTCAACTCAATAAGACCTTCAATACAGTTCATGATAGAGAAAGATAGTAACAGCAACTCCCATTCCTGGATGTTCTAATATCTCAAACAGAGCATGGGTTCAAGACATCCATATACCGACATTCACCGGACAGTACCTCAATTTCAACTCCAACCATCCATACAGAGTAAAGAAAGGGATTTTCTGCTGCTTGCAACACCAAGCAAAATTCATAAGTGACAACCCAGAGACATTAGATAAAGAATTGGTCAGTATAAGTAGTACCCTACAATGTAACAACTACCTTGGGTACATGGCAGCAGGCCCAATAAACTGGGATAGGCGGGTACAAGAGGAGAACAACAACATTCAGAAAACAGTCTTGCCTGCCTTATATGAAGGGGTTATCAGAGAAAATACAAAGGATCTGTGGTCCATATAACATCAGGACAACTTTCAAAAGTTGGACAACACGTCGCAGATATCTCTCCCGAGTAAGACCCCCCCCCATAGAGGAGAACATGACTAAATACCATGTGTATGCCATCCTGTGCAGCTGCAGAAAGAAATATAAAGGGGAAACAGGCCACCCCCATTAAGGTAAGGCTTCAAGAATACCAGAAATCTGTAACACAAGGGGAAGTGGAAAAATCAGGCATGGCTGACCACATATGGAGAGAAAAGGGAGATCACTGCCCCCTGTGGGATCAGGTTGAAATCACAGACAAAGAACATCATTGGAAAATTCGTAAACTTAAGGAATCAGCACATATGCTAGGCCACAAAAATCTCCTGAGCCGACCAAGCATAGAAATGAATACAATATGGGAACCAGTAATAAGGAGTGCCAGAGAAAAGTGATAATAACAAAAATTGCAATATGAGCTCTGGTAAAAAATGATGCTGAAGACATTAAGTTTATAATACCCAGAAATTCACACACAGATGTCCTCAAAGACACATGGCCCAGTAGATAAAGGCATTAGTTAGATCCAGTGACAGGACCCAAAGAGTGTGAGTTCAATACCTGGTTAAAGCGGAGAGGGGAATTAACAGGAGATAACTGATATCTATTAGACATGGCACATGGAACTAGAACAGTCTACCATGGAGTGAAATAAAGGGTTCAGTTCAACATTCCAACCACCTGAAGAAGGCCGAAGCATTGTGATAAATATGGCAACAAAGATGAGGACAATAGTCCGAATAATGTAAATAGTGTACAATTTGAATTGCTATCAATCAATTCAGTAATAAATATATTTTTAAAAAAATTAAACAAAAAACACCAATTAATTGATGTTTTTAAACAGTGACTTACTTGATGACTGTGTGTTGTCCATCGTGTACTTCTACGCATGGCAGTGACCACCAGTGATATTTCTCCCTGGATAATGTATATTCCATACTTGGGTGGACCCATTTTGAATTTTTAGGTTTACTAAAAGTGAAATTTACAAAAGATTAATGCAAACTCAAGTGCCAAGAAAAAAAAATAAAAAAGAGGACTTCAAATAATTTACAAAGTCACTTTCTGATTAGTTTTTCAAAGTGATACACACTTTCAAGCTATGAAAAGATTAAGTAGTACTCTATTACATAAAGGCAGTTTGTAAGTAAAAATAAGGTTATTTTAAAGTGATTAGAATGCTGACTCAAAATTCCATAAATTAAATTATGCCTTTAATTTTTATGATTATTTTATAAAGCAACACTATATATATATATATATATATATATACTAAACTGAAATAACAATGAGAAAGATATATGTTACTTGTCATAACAAAAATAACAGAAAGAATTAGATAACTTTTTTATATTAGAAACTTGTTTAGAAAATCACAATACCATCTCAATATCTTATTTACCTTATAAATGTACATGGATTTTAGAAGTTTTAAAAATTGTGACTATATTGAAATTTATATAAAATATTATTAGGAATAATGATTTACTCATTATTAGAAGAGTTCTATTTTTTGCATATGCCTCTTTTAATTTCAGAGAAAAGTGATAAATTACTGTTGGAATAGTAGAAATATTTATAAAAAAGATGAGTCTTTATCAGTTACAAAGAATGTGTCCTACTATGGCTATAAAACATGTCAACAGATCAAACTTTACATTTAAATCTTTATCTTTCTTCAAATATGCTGTTAAACTATCATTTTAATTGGTTTTAAAAGTTTACTTAGTTGAACTAAAAATAGTAATTTTTAACTTGCATATTACTTTTATTCAATTTGTTGTTAAATGGTGCAGAATCAGACTGAATGTTTAATTCCAAGTATATCTGTCAAGGGTGGCTAGCCAATCCCTGTAGAAGATTCCTACTAAGACACATTTGTGTTTGTTCAACACCCACCTGTAGTTTATAAACTATGCTGAGCAGAGCTTAGTTACAGTTTCTGAGACAGAGCACATCATCTGGTGTGATTAGCAGTTTCAACAAGGCCAGTACACTGAAAACCTTGGTCACAATGACTTGTGACTCCATGCTAATATACCAATCAGCAAACAATTGTCTGCTCAATTTCACCCACAATGCTTAGATCAACACATGGCATTGCCTTCAGGCACTTTTCAATAGTGCTACATGCTGTGATCATCTCCCCAGGCCAATAACAGCAAAACAAATTGATCATGGTGAAAGTCAAACCTGGGTTTCATTGTCAGAAAGCAAACATTCTAACCACTCATTTATGTTCCAATGTAAAGATACATTACATTTATAAATAATAGCTGATGATACTGTATAAACTGGAAATGGACTGAACTTGGATGTTTTATGTTTGTTTCTCTACACATCTGCACATAATTGTGCAAAATTGTGAGAAAATAATACAAAAACAAAAATTATTATATCTTACTATAATTCACCAAATGTGTATTTTTTTTTTTTTTTATCACTGCAAATATGATGGCATCTAGAGTCAGGGCCACCAAATTTCCTGTCATGGGACAGTGGGGCATGTTTTTAGCATATTATTTTTTTTAATTCCTATAAGTTTTCAGCAAAGGATTTGATTTACAGCATAATGCTAAAATGGACCCTTTGTGTCCTTCAGCTTATGAACTTCCCATTTCTGCTTAACTTATGAGGAGGTGCTGAAAACTTTTCAGACTGACCCATGCCCCAAAATCTGACCAAATGACAAAATAATAGATAGGCTTTCCTATTTAAATAGATATAGGTTGTTTTCTCCAGATAATCATTATGTGTTTCATTATACCAATCAAGTTCCACCATCACAGATTTGGTCAATGCAAATTTTGAATTCTTCACTGTATATCAATTTCAAACTATCATCCACTTTCCATGACAACTCATGAATCCAAAATGAAGTTTAGTTCATTCTTAATTCTCAAATTTTCAGCTGAATATTATTTTTGCTTTTACATCTAATAAGTGGTCAAGGGGTATCTTACTCTGTGTCCAGTTCTTGTATATATGTAAGAAGGGACGAGAGAAATTTTGTTGTTATGGTTAATTCTGCAACTGAGAATATACTTAATATCATACATTAATTTTTTCATGTTTATCAAATGCTAACACAATATTTTTTAAATCAATATCCAAGATTTGATGAAAACTTCTAGTAAATGCTTTATGGCTGAAAACAGATATAAAATATTTTTCAGGGGAACATAACATGAATCACCTGGTCAATGGAATGATTTGCTTGGTCTGGGGGATGTAAAAATTCAATCTTGACACCACTTTCATCAATCACAGAAACAATGCCAACCTACCAAAATGAATTATAAATACAATTTACACAGGTTGATGGTCTTTGGTTATAGATCTCCATGATAGCTGGAACATTAAAGTCAAAAATATCACAAATGTGTTATCCTTGTGAGCATTGGTTGGTGTTGATTGTGGGATGAAATAGTGGCTACTTCTTGCCCCTGGTACAGTTTCATCCCAACCCTGAAGGTCATATCTATACTGTGCCACAATTGTTTAAAAACAAACAAAAAAATCTGATGCCTTTCATTTCCTCTTTACAAAGTGCAAGCATTGCTTTGTAATCAAGAATTTGATTATTCAATGGGCCCTGTCAGCTCCTTTTTTGCCACATACCTTTTCAGTGAATGACCAATACCATCACATGAGTACTTTCTGTGGCTGGTGGCAAAAACGTACAGAGTCATGCTTATGGTGACACAAATTTTTTAAAATTTGTAAATTTGTACTGTCCTGTACAACCATTTGAAAAGAAACTTAGTTTGCTAAGAGGTAATTTTTTCTCAGATAATCTCCCACCAGTGTTTGATTTGATATACAATTTGTGTTGTATATGCTGTCATCAGAAATGAAACAAAGCAAAACATAAATATTTTATTTTGAATTGAACTATATTCCGAGCAGGTAGACAGGTTCATTGGAATTTAGAAATTTGCAAAGGTAAATTAAGAACATAAACACCAGCCGTCCAGAATTAAATTATTTTTTTTAACCAGTCCCACTATTCTGAAATTCGGATTATTTCTAAATTTTTTTTAAGAACTTATATTTTTAAAGGAAATATTCTTAAACAAACTAGTTTCTAATTATCATGATTTTCAAAAGATAAAACATCATATTTTCTAATTAGTAATTAAGTTATTTTTAACCATATTGGACATTATTAATAAATGAATTTTTATTGTCAAGTTCGGTTCCCCCCCCCTTATAGAAATTAGTTCAACATGCTCACAGAAGAGGTGTTTTCGAGTGAAATCAGATGTGATTCTTTTGAATTTATTTCTGGAAAATTCTAGAAAAAAATTGCTTAGTTGTTATGTGACGATTTCTTCATTTTAAATTTCAGTTAAAAATAAAAAATAAAATAAGCAAATACGCCAGGAACTAAAAAGTAAGTCAAGCGATAACATCTATTTTTTTTCTGAACAGAGTTTATATAAGAAAAACAATAAAAAATAATTATCAACTGAGAAAATTGATAGTTAACTAACAATTGAATAATGCCAGTGGCTACGTTAGAAAAAAAAATGATCAAATCAAATTCACGTTTCGGTTACATTTGTTTATCTATCCGAACGTTAAATGTGACATGTTTGCATAGAAAAAAAAAGTAACAAATTAACAATAACATTAACAAGAACCATTAATTTCAAATCTACAACACACAATTTTATTGGCAATGATCGCAGCATAAACATAACAACGTATGTTCTACAAAAAAGTAGAATGTGTGTATAGTCACTACTAAAAAAAGTCAATGCAAAATTGCAATCAAAATATTATGTAGCATAATTTTTTGATCTATCTATTCAATTGTAAATGTTTCAAAACTAAAAATAATTTTGGGAGTTTTGTCGACTTTTGCATTCGAAACAATTTTCACATAATGAATGACCTCCCTTATAAGCTTTTTTTACACTTCCTCGTATTCTGAGCACACATTTTTTCCATAAATAAATAATAAAATTGAAATATAACCAAACATTTCTGATCGATAAGACTTAAAACTTAGCATAAAACGAAACGAAGTAATTAAAATATAAAAAGGTCGAGCCTACCTCCTTTAAATCTGAAAAGTCTTGTATCAAAAATAAATAAAATAAAAATCCCCAAAAAATGAAATTATTATTTCATCTAAATCGTACGACGTAAATAAATAACAGCACATTGGTTTACAAATTGGTTTCGTTATGCTCAGAATATGAGATTATGTAAAAGTATTTAGCGTTTGGTATGCCAAACCAGGCGCTAAATTTGAGTTGACGATATCTAATTTTTCTTTTAAAAATTACTAAAACTAAAAAAAGTGATACAAAATTAGTATTTTCTCTCTTCTGTGAAAGGTTTCAGTGAGAAATTGCAAAAGAAAATTTCATTCATCGGAAAATAAGTAGATTTTTAAAATAAAATGTTTTACTTGCTTCAAATTTAAAACAAAGTTTTTTGTTTTATTTTTACTAAAACATATTTCTGGTTTTGTTTTTAGTGACCAGATGGTGAAGATTGGTTTAAAGAAGAAAACAAAACGGAAGGCATAAAAAAAATCATAAACCAATCATCATTTTTGCTTATCTGGATTTTCTACTCGAACTAAAAAACAAAATGGAATATAAAACAAGAAGGTGGAAATTAATCAAGTCAAACCATCTGCTCACAACTTAGTACGATCAGTAATGAAAAATAAAACACCTGATTAAACTGACGTCATGATTTGGCAAAGCATCTTGGGTTGGGTATACATTATTATTACAAAATATTACTTTAACTTTTTTGTTCTTACTATCGAATTTTCCTAACTCTATGAAATTGAAAATCTAAAATCAACAAATGGACAGTCTTAATTGCTGCTAACTGCAACTAAACAACATAAGAAAGTACAGTATTGTTTTCGAATTATAAGTAGTCACTTAAAAATGATCTTTGTCACTGAACTTTATTTTCGCTCTTTTGACCAGGTAACGAAATAGTGTTATTTTCCACTTCCCACACAAACTAAGTAAAAAGTAAGCAGTAGAGGGCTTACTGAATATAGACATCTCTATTTAAAACCTTAAGCAAGATTTAATGAAAAAGTCAGATGATCTATTTGTAACTTTGGTCTCAACGTGATGATTCACAAACAAAGCTTTTCAAAACGGTTCGAATTTTATAAAAAAAACTCCTTATCTTAATATTTGACAAATATTTAAACACCTTGTCATTTCACAGTTTTCGCAATATAATTACTGAAATTTTGATAATTTTGTCAACTAGCCACCGTTTGTCATTGATCTTTCAAACACTGGCCATTGCAATGTTGGTTCAGGTGAATCGCGTTTGAAGTTTGAATCAGGAAAAGATTTTTTAGGAATATTTCATGCTCTCTGATAACCGCAATTCTTCGTCCTTATGTACGAGATGAGTACTAAAAAGTTTTCGAACCAAATAAAATTGTTTTTGTTCATTTTATCATATTATTTTGGGAAGTGGGTCGAGCCGATAATTTTTCAGCACCCCCGTATTTATATCAAACAAAAGATATTGCTTCTTTTTTTTTCTCGATTTCAAGATTCGGACGACTGAGCATTATTGTTCAGTAAAAATCATAACTATTTTGGCTAGTTAACGCCGAATGAGCATATTTGAATTTCGGTAAGAAGAAAAAGCAATTAATTAGAGATTAAAAATGTGAAATCGTTTTAAAAAAAAAAAGTTATTGTCCAGGATCTTTTTGAGATCATCGAAAAGTAAAACAAGCAAAGAGGGAAATACACAAAATGGAATGCCCAGAGAAGCATTTTAAAATCATAAAGGATTCGTTAATTTTTTTTTTTTAAATCTACTTGAATTAATCATAAGATAATAATGGATTGGAATGTGAAACCAATAGATTCTAAATTTTAGCATAGGGGAAAATCAAAATGCAGTTTAAGTTTGATTTCAAAGTTGCTTCATTTATTTTATTAATAAAGCTGTATAAAGACAGTTTATATTTTGAAAATAAAGGATTTTATGCCGAGTTGTTTCCTCACCCACAGATGGAATCGGAGGCATGATGATTGATTCACATCAGTATTGTACTATTTTTTTTTTTTTTTTTGGTATATTGTTTGATATTTATACAGAAATACAATCCAAGCCCCAATTATTGACCAATATCACTACAGATTAATCACAGGGGTTCCAAAATACATAACACCTTTTGCTTACCTTGTAAATAATAATCAGGTAGATCAAAAAAAAAAAAAAAAAACTTTCTTCTCTCTGTGTCAAAGAGAGAGTAAAAGATGAATATGGCTGCTTCCGATTTTAGTTTACGACTGTCGTCGTCTGCAGATCTTTTCTCACGTTGTTTTCTTTTTTCGCTTATTCTCTCGGGAGCCTCAAGAGAGGCTGCCGTTATTAATGCACATCATGCCTTCCTAGTGACGGGAATAAGGGAAAATCCCGAATAAATTTTACCTATTCATTATTAAACTGAATCCATCTGCCAAGTCTTCGTTTTTATTTCATTCTTTCTCATTTTTTTTTTTTTTTTTTTTGTTTGTTCTTTCCTTTTTTTGTTTTAATGACGTGGTGGAGTTTTTGATGGCAACTGGAGAATGACAACAAGGGAGATAATCACACAAACAAGCCGTTTTGAGGCCATGAGATATGATAATGCGAAGAGTCTCTACTTAGAAATCTTTTTTGCGTATCGCCGTCAGCCTCAAAATGTAAAAGACTGCCTACAAAAGGAAAAAAAGTAAATCGGCTCATTGCGCAAGATATACTCTAGTGGTGCCATCATTTTAAAACCAAAATATAAATGTGCTTAATAAAAATCAGAATGCTGAAAAAAAACATGTAGCAAAAAAAATAAACTAAGAAAAAGAAAACTAAACTAATATTAATGACCAAAAGAATTCTAAACTTAATTTTTCATGTAGGTTTTGTTTTCTTAATTTTTCCATCAAAATTTCATCCATATATGAAAAATTTGCTAAATAGAACATTATTTAAATTGTAAATTAGAAACGTCTAGTGAATCATTGTGTACATGTGTATTCACACATAAATAATTTAGTTTAAATGATAAACACTACCTTTATTTCAAAACTTCTGAACTGATCTCTATAAAAAAAAATAGGATATAAATAGGTCTTAGTAACTTAATGACAAAATTATGAAGTTATTTTTTTTTTAATTTCAGTTTATTATATATGTAAAATTAAGTATTTTTAAAATGTAATTGTAATAATAATGTCCATATAGTGTGGAAGATTGAAGGGATAAAAATTTGGGCTCATAACAAATATTCAACTTATACACAAAGAAAAAAGAAAGGAAAAGAAGAAAACAAAGTGTAAATTCAAAATTTTATAATTCAGAAGCTGATTTGGTGATATATAAAAATTTTTTTTCCTTTTTTTATCCAGTTTTTTTCTTGTGAAAACAGTTTTTGTACAACAGTAAATAGACTAGACAGGAAGATTTTTTAATGATTCCTCTTACTACTTTGACTCGGACTGCTACATTGACTACAGACTGCCTCCTTGATATATTGTCCTTTTACTTACATTTCCCACATGAATATATTAGTAGACACAAAATGTATGCAAATAATTAACAGAAGAATTTGAAAGTGCATTACCCGAAAAGTATAAAAATTTAATAACTATATATGCTTAAAAACTGAAACTTTATAGATTAGTAATTTGATATATGTTTTAAATGTTATGTAATTTTTATCTTAAATTTTAATCATTTTTATCGTAAATTATAATTAAATTTTATTTTAAGCTGTTATGCACTCAGTAGGGATGTATCTTATTAGCAATCTTCAATAAATAGAGGTTTTTATTTTGTCTGAAACTGATAAATTAAGAAAATGTTCTAATAATGTGTCTACTATAATTTGTATCTGTTTGATTTGTTCATTTTACCAACTCATAATTTATATAGATTTTTAAGTTTTTCTTCATCAACATTACAGTAGTAATGTTTAAATTCAATTGTAATAATAATAATGCCTACAATTATAATATCAAATAAGGCAAGAAAATAACATTAATCATGATGATAATGTGGCTTTTACTAATGTTAATAAGGAATAATTATTTGTAACAAATAGAAAGCTGTAAGCAATAGTTATTTTCATTAGTAATAATCATACTACAGCATTGCTTTTTATACTTTATCTAGGATTTATGTATTGTAACACTTACTCTATATTGACTAAGAACTACTCAATAGTTTAATGAATTGAAACAATGTGCATGAACTAAATATCATACAAACTTTTAACACTACAATTTGTGAGATCTTTGCATACATGCTCAAGTGAACAGTTTGAAAGGAGGCAGTGGAAAATAGGCATTATACTAGTCATTTTTTTCTTTTTTATGGCAAGATTATCCAAATATCTGAGCAACTATATTGTCACTTCTTTACAGGAGAAGACCATTTCTTCATTTGGTAGCTTTTTTGTGTGTGTATTCTGTTCAGAATATTATTATTTCCATCATTTTTACCCCAGCTAACACTCAGCTATGGGCCCGTAGTGATTCCTAGGGCCAGCCTTACATTTACAACCTCTCTTACACACACAGTAAACAAAGTTTGTCTGTGTTACCTATGTTAGAAACTTCCCTGTGTACAATCATGTGATATTTGAGTCCAATAACAGGCTTACAAAACTTTTCACAAAACATGCACAAGTAATCTGCAGGTCTTTCTGGTAGAGTTGCATTCACGGGAGTTTGCACCTGACCTCTCTGGCATGATCTCACTTGACTGCCTAAACCATTTACCGAAAGAGTGACTTTTCCACAAATACTGCAAGAGTGTTGTTGTCTGGGACAGATTCTGTTTCTCCCTTCCCACTGGTATGCTTTTTGGTGGAATGCTCAATTCTCTTCTGCTCAAATTTGTTGCAGCCTTTCCCAAAATCAACCTTCTACAGCCAGATCTATCTCCAGCAACAGTTTCCCAGTCTTCAACATTAATGCCAAGAGTCTTTAGATTACATTTAACTACATCTTTGAAACATTTTTGGGACATGATCAGGTGTACTAGCTTACCATATAAAAGTCTCTTGGACAATGTGTCATCCTCCATACATAACAGATGACCTGTCCAGCACATTTGATTTTGAGAAGTAGTTTCCCTATGCTGGCTGTTACTTTCTTCCTAAAACCAGATCATCTTCTGATTCATACTACATTAATTTCCACCACTGGCCAAACATGAACATGCTGAAACCCAAAAGTGAACTAAAATTCCACCAACTGCACAAGGCTTCACACATATCTCCTGTTTTTACTCACACACAAGAAAAAATAAGCAATACAATCCAGAATTTCCACCCAATAGCACCTACTCCTGCCTAAAGAAACAAAATAAAAACTGGAGCTGATTTGAGCCTAAGAAAGGACATAAAAGCCCATCAAAGGGATATTTCCAAGAGACAATTCCACTGAGTAACAAACTCATCTTCCCTCTCTTTTCGTACACCTCAGCAGATGCTTTTTATAACTCCACTTATCTCTTTTTTCAATGACAAACACCTGCACTGATTTATCACTTGTTGTATTTTATGTTAATACAATTATTTCTTTAAACCGTCATTGTTTCTTCTTTGTTCTGCCACCATAATATAACAATATAATATGGCTATGTCTGCAGCACCATATATATATATATATATATATATATATATATATATATACCTACCTATATACATACACACACACATTTACATACAAACAAGAATATGGAGATTTTCTCATATACAAAATAATATCAGTTATCTCTTTAGATGCTCAATATAAAAAGGATTCTTATCATTTGTGATATTGAAACAGAAAGGAAATGTATAAAAAATTAAATTTACAACAATCCTTTTTGGCGGGGGCGGGGGGCAGAGAATGTCCACTTTCTCATCCCAAATATTAAACCAGTAATAATGACTTAAAACTACCCCATGAAATTTGAAAGTTACAAACATTTATTAAACTGATACAAAACAATATAACTGAGTACAAATTTTACAAAAACATTTTTACAAAATATTTCCTTTCATGTACCTTATTAAGGACAAGGTAAAATAACAAAATTATAGAAACAATTGGCTCTAAAAAGATTCACAATACAAATTTTTTCAACTCATAAAATTTAATACACTTCTCCAAAAAGTAAGTGTATAAGACAAACTCAGACTATTTATTTGCTCACACTTTTTAATTATTGTTTTTAATTATTTTATACTACTAATAAAATGATTTTATAGATTTTACAATAATTTATGTTAAAAGAAGATGGGTGTAGTGGCTTACTAAAATTATTATTTTCAGTACCTAATAAAAATTAAGCTAGGTAGAGAAAAATGCTAATAAGAAAGTGGAAACTTACATTAGTTGTTAGAGATAGAAAAAAAGTCTTTGGTAGATGGAGTGACTGAAGTTCAGAAAGTATTGTTAATTTTCTGACCCATTTGAGGTTGATAGTTCAACATAGTAGTAAAAGTGTCTGTAGTTGAATGGAAGGAGTGCTGAATGAATATTATTGTGGTAAATTTGTGGAATATAGTACTACCTTGTAAAATTATGGTTGCAGTGAGTGAGTTGTCTTGTACCATCAAAGAAGACCTGGTCTGCTTGAAGGTAGTTTCAGATGAACAAGTTCAAAAATTAGCTTTCATATGTTGTTCAGAGTTTTTTGTTTACCACATATCTTGGAGTCCAGTATCCTCACTGATAAAGGTAACAAGGTCTTTTAGTTTGCATCTCTCTCACTACTTATTACAAATTGTACTGGGATGAATAGTAATTAAACCAGATGGCTGCTTCCCATATATTTGTGCTGGTAGGCTCCCAAGCCACCTTCTAAAATTGTTACAAATTTCAAATTCCATTCCTCTGATTGGTTGAAAATAATCCTGAGAAGGAGCTATTTTCTCAATCCTTTTTTTTCAAAACATTTCTTTTTTATTACCCTAAACAAGACACAACATTGCTATAATCAGGTCCAGAAAGAAGTCTTACCAAAAAGGTCCCCTCCAAACATCTCATTGGTTGCAATGTCTTCACTTTAGGTAGTGAAAGAGAGCAGAGGGTCATGTTTTTTTTTTTTACATACTTTTTTGAGTGATAAGTAAAGAGGCATCATTATTTTACTCAGATTTAACATTTCATTAATATATACTCACTGACTTTTAACCATTTACTATAAAAACAAGTGAAATTAAAAGGGCGTTAGTGACTAAAGGTAAAGGCAGTATAAGTTAACACTTCATTTGTGAATTGTTTGATTGCAAAATTCCCTACTGAAGCAAACTACTGGGTCTTGTTCAGGTCAACCTCACTTATCAGGAATGTCTAAAAATCCAAATTTCAAGGAGGTAAATGTCAAATGCATGACAGTATGTTTATCATGTGGATTATAATAGCAGAGTATCCAGAAGAAAACCACTCCTTGAATCAATCAGAGAAAACTTTCTATCAAACATGGTGAAGTTTTGGTTATGCTACTGGAAGCAATTTGGAGCACTGATCATTTAAAATGTCTTAGGTCTATCAGAAATATTGAGTCAAAATAATACATAACAATGGTGTGATTCTAAAATAGACATGCATTGTTTTTCCATTTTTGCAACGAGCAATCTGATCTCTAAGACAATATTCAGATACAAAGACATTTTGTGAAATTAAGACCCAATTTTTTGAAAAAACATATTATGCATTTTTATTCTGAAAGTATTTTTTCACAATTCACAATAA